TGCAGAAAAAAATCAGTCCCTTATCAGGATTATATATAAATTCTGATATGGTGTTTTGAACAGTTTCTGGCATAAGAGATCTTGAAGAATTTATGGTTTTCTTCAGAATTATATTCAACAACTCCTGTTGCTGTTTTTGTAGTTCTAGCAACTGTTGGTTTTGTTGTGGTTTCCATTGTTGCTGAATTTCACCTATGGAAGCCAAAATTTTCTCCATATTCGCAAGAATATGTTGTTTTTTTTTAACCAACGTGATTGAGATTCTTGTAACTCCAGTTACAACTCATATGAGTTTCTGAATCCTCATTAATTTTATAAGAGTTCTGAATCCTCAGCACAATAGTTATAAAACACCTGAGTTTCAAATCACTCATCACTACTATTATAATGCCACTATTTTATGACTATTGCTATAACACGCTCTTACTTATATAACATACTTCGTATAAGGATTCATTATAAAAATAACACCTTTAAGTGCCAAATCTAGGTGCGTCGTCAGTGTTGTTGCTCTCATGTCACTAGAAGTTTCGGGTCTGAATAAACAACAGATTTCATTGATGGGCGACCCAATCGAATATGATCAGTATTCGGCCCGAACCCAGAATAAAATTTGCTACTAGCTTTAGGACATGATTTATATAAGTTCTCCCCAGAAAACGGCACCTAATCAAGACTTCACTTGGGCTATTCGATGTTATAGATCAGGTATGCTTGGTTGTACTGATCTTCCTACATGCAGCCAAGACAGAGTGTTTTTTGGAAGAAGAGAAAAAAAAATAACATATATATATATATATATATATATATATATATATATACACATTAATAAAATAAAAACAATTTATTATATTGGCTCGTCTTACAACTTTTCTTTCTCTTCTTACCCTTTCTTTATTAAATCTTATTTGTTTGGTCTTTCTCTTTTTATAACTTTCCTTTTTATTCTTATTTTTTCTAACTACACTTAACAAAACGTATACAATAGTGATTAAAATGACTTAGTCTATTTACAAAAAAAAAAAAAAAACTCCTAAAATACAGTATGAATAATTTATAATTATAATTTTATATGAAATGCTTTGGCTACTTTACCGTGACACCTGTATTAGCCTGAAGAGTGACTCCAAACAGCTACCAGCCTTACCTCTGACTCAGAGCTCTTTATAGTAATGGACTAATTCATATAGTCACCAGGGTGGGGGAGAGGGTTTACTATTTACTCCACAACAGAAGGATTGAAATGTAGAAATATTTAAACACCTTAAACTTCAAAAATTGTTTTTGAATTTAGATTATTAAATAACGATACCTATTCTTTTCTTCTTTTTTTTATGCAATGGTAAAATATGTTGACATGATTAATTAGAGAATCATTTGACATGACAGCTTTCTTTATTTATTATGATTTGCATATGCAGCCATTACACCTATTGTATAAATAAAAAAAACATGTCACTTTGTCATCAGTGATCAGGCTGAAGCAAACATATATAAATTAAGTGAATCCTGTCAAAACTCAAAAGTTTCAGGCTGTAAATAAGCAGGCAAATGAAGCCAATGTTCAACTGTTCCTTACCCCTTGGGATATTGATAAGGGGCTTGTTGTGAGGAGGGACAGCAGGAAAAAGGGTCTTATCTTGAAAATTTTTGACTCTTGTGCAAACTGGACCTTTCAATATAAAAATTTCAAATTAACTCACCTTCAAAATAAAATCAAAGGACCCCCCCAGCAAATACAATAGACAAATCCTGGCATTAAATAAACCTTAAAATAATAGAAATACTGAGCATGTCTTCTTAATTACATTGTCTTTTAATTTAATTTTTTTTTCCATATATGGAATTTATTTAAAGAATTTAATATTTCCTTTGAATTTTTCTTAGATTCCTTTTTAAAAAAAAGTCTGCAATTGCTTCAAATTTTAAATAAAGCAATGATCAATTTAAAATTTGATGCAGTTTACAGACTTTTGCAAATATATTTCAGGATGTTGAATATCTTTGCCTTGCATAGTTCCTTACACCTTGGAATATTGACGGAAGGGAATTGTCATGAAGAGGAACTTAACATGACAAAAGGACTTGAAAAATGGCATGACATGAAAAATTTTGACACTTGTGAAAATGGAACCTAACAAAAAATAAATCTAAAATTAACTTAATTTCCAAACTAAAACCTAAATATCCCTCATTAAACAAATCATGCTTTAAAATTGCACTAAATGAGTTAAAATGCCATTTTATATGTGCTGTGCCTCTCACTGCTCTGTTGCTACTGCCATGGAAAGTGCTCAGACGAACTACATTCCTTGGGTCTGCCAAGTCAAACCTTTACGGCTAGGACCCACCATGCCACTTACATTGTAGCAAACCACCCACATTCCCTCCATAATCCATTGGTGAGAAGTTCAACTTCAATACCTTCTTCCCATGAACCACTGCTCTGTAGGATGGACTCCCAAGAGGATATTTCCCTACTCACTACAATCTTAACCTGTTCAAGTCTAGAGTTTACTGTTATCTTCCCCTCCTATCTGTATAAACTACCCTTTATCATAAACCTCTATTTTGAATGCCCCCCCCCCCCAGGCTTTGTTCAGGGTGAACTTTATTGTATATATAAGAGACTTAGCATAAAAAGAAACTTAGGAAAAAATTTTGACTTTTGCAAACTAGATCTATCAATAGAAAAACCTTCAAATTAACCACCTCACTTTAAGCATATCCTTGCATTAAATGACCCATCCTAAAAGAGTTGAAATGCTGTTAAAAACAAATGTATAGTGTTTTTCTTAATTACTTCAGTCCTTTAATTTTTTGGTTCATGCATAGAACTTACTTAAAACGATTTAATAATTTCTATTTAAAAAGTTTGCAATTGATCAGTATATATATATATATATATATATATATATATACATGAATTGATGTGAGTTTGTGACCGTGGGTTTCACACTCTCTGTGATCGTCAGACAGTTTGTCTCATGATTGCAGAGAGCGTGAAACCCAGGGTCAAAAACTGACATCAATCCAACTAAATATGTTAGCTCTATCACTGATATTGAGTGCTTTCCAATTAGTACCAGATATATATATATATATATATATATATATATATATAATTTTATGAAATGGATTAAATCCACATATTTTAATTTGTTTTGCTTAAATGTTATTTTAAATGGATACTCATATTCAGTAAATGCTCTGTTTATTTAATTCAACTGTATTTTTATTTAATCACATTTACCATCCAGAATAAAAAGCGAGTTTTATAAAAAAAAAATTTTATATATATATATGGTTAGCTCCCTACTTAAAAATACTCTTCCAAAGATAAGTTATACTTAAAAATAAGATCTATTTAAAAGATTAAAAATAAGTCGTATTTAGATTTAAATAAGAATATGTTTAAAAATTTTATATTAATGAATGAAAATAAATATTTAAAAATAAAATATAATAAAATAACTGTAAAGATAACCATACAAAGTTATATTTAAAAACCTAAGAAAAAAAAAAAAAAAAAAAAATATATATATATATATATATATATATATAAAAGTGATAAAAGAAAAGAGAGTTCTTAGAACAGGGGACAATTATAAGATATAATTAATATGAAAAGAAATGTATATAGAAATTAGAAATAGTTATACATCTGAAGAGTTAGAGAATTAAAAAGTAGTAAAGTAAAATCTATAGAAGTTTTGAATTTGTTTTTATGCTGACATTTTAAAACTAATTTAATTCATTCTTTTGATATTTTACTTTGATTGTTATATTTTATTATTCTAATTTTTTCTTCTAAACACAAGTTACACTTATCTCTAAGACTATTAGGAATATGAGTGAAACCTATGATTTTCTATTCTATCTGTGGGTTCAGACCTATCTCCTCCAATTGCCAAAAAGAGACTATAGTTTCACTGCATAAATTTGGCTCCATTCCTAACAGAAAAGGGATCGAACTCAATTTATTTAATCAGTAAGTGCATGATTAATGAAGTCATTTGATAAAGCATCTGAAGAAGCTAAGAATTCTAACGATGTACAAATACAGATGCCTGGAGAGGAAGCATGGTTTATACATGAGCCTGGAATTATCATCATTATTATTTTAATTTGCTTGGTAAACTGCTTTCATATTGCTTTGGTTATGCAGACTGTCTTTGAATGTGAGAATCTTTAAACCATTCCTTCATGCATGAAAGATTTTTCATTATTGTTTTGTTATCAATTGTTCAGTTGTTGTCTGTGGCTGTCTTCATGTTGAAATTGATTACTAAGTCAATTATTTGTCTTTCAGTGTGGAGGCAGACATTCGATAAATAGATTAAAGAGCAGATGAAGTCCATTGTCAAACAAAACCATTAAAATTTGCAAATATCTTTAGAACAAGGTTCTTTATGCATACCTTATACATGTATTGGGCAAGGCATGTGTATTTGCTTCTTTTTTAAATAAAAACAAAGATTTTTTCTCTCACGCTTCTTGATTGTAGCTCTTCCAGCTTCTTTCTTTCCAGACAAGTTTGATTTTTAAAAATTTAAATGCAATGTCAATCATTATCTTCTGTTTTCTTAATTCCAGTTCTTTTATTGTCCTCTCTCATTAATAGTAGTTTTTCTCATATTCTCTAACACTTACATCCTAGTGGCTTTATTGCCTTTGATCTTCAGAAATTTAAATGGAATGTTATTTGTTATCATCTGTCTTCTTAATTCCTTTTCTTTTATTGTCCTCTCTCCTTAATAATGTTTACTTTTGCTCATGTTCTCTTACACACAATAACCACTTGCATCTTAGTGACTTTACTGCCTTGTTTGGGGATGAAATGATTAAAAAACACAATAATTTGAATGTGAAATTTGCAATTTATTCTCTTCCAATTTAGGAAATAAAAAAATTTTTATAAAATTTAAAAAAATTTTCTTTTAATCTTTTTGAAAAAGCCATTTCAAATATTACATTTCTTGAAATATTTGAGGTGATTACAGCTATATCATGTTGAAACACCAGTTCTCATACGATCACTGAAGTTAAGCAATGCCTGGTCAGTAGCTAGATGGGTGACCACTTGGGAATACTAGGTGTTGTATGCTTGGATGTGCAGGTGATGTAATGGATAACAGCTCAGACTTAGGATTCAGAGAGCTGAGTTCCACTTCTAGTCAGGTTTTTTATATTTACGTATGTGCAAATACGTTTGTGAAAATTATGAATCCACATCTTCTCCCCGCCCTGCGAGTTATCAATCAGTAAATCATTATGATCTCCAAATGGATAACCATAAATCATGATTATTTTCTAGATGGGTAACCGCTTAGGAAATCTAGGACTTGTACCAGTAAATCATTATTGTTATGGTAATTTACCCACGCACAGCTGTAAATGGGAGTAGGTACTTCCTTTTGGAGAGGGAAGTTTCCAGTAGTCAGCTCTGACAGTTGGACCGAACATTCTTGCTGTAACACTCTTGTTTGTATATGTTTGTTTTTCTGTTTCTGTTAATGTATTTGTTTAACTCAATTCCTTTCACTATTTACATTATTCGGACTATTGTCCTCATCTTTATCACCGTATTTATTACAACATTTCGGCCGTTGTATGCTCCAGCCTTCTTCAGGTGGTTGGAATGTCGAACTGAACCCTTTATTTCACTCACTAAGGTAGACTGTTCTAGTTCCACGTTCCATGGATGTCAGTTATCAGTTATCTCCTGTTAATTTCCCTCTGAGAGTTCTCCATTGCCTTAACTGGGTATTGAACTCACACTCCTTGAGTCCTGTCATTGGATCTAACTAACGCCTTTATCTACTGTGCCATGTGTCCTTGAGTACAGTGAAGAACTTGGAGAGGGGAATTAACAGGAGATAATTGACAACTGACATCCATTAAACATGGCACGTGGAAACAGTGGAACAGTCTACCCCAGTGAGCAAAATAAAGGGTTCAGTTTGACATTCCAGCCACCTGAAGAAGGCCGGAGTGTACTACAGCCAAAACTTGGTAATAAATATCACTACAAAGATGAGGACAATAGTCTGAATAATGTAAATAGTGTACATAATACCTCATCTCAGAAATATAGACAGAAACTCAATTCCTCTCTTTGTCTTTATTTCTGGCCCTAACAAGATCACAACAGTTATTATCTCCAAAATATTTCTTACAATCTAAAAACATTTTCTTGCTTTAAATAACCTGCAAAATGTTAATAAACCATTAGAAAAAACAAATTAATCAATCACTCTTGAACTTTTTCATATTTTGTAACACTTTAACATCACCAGATGAGTTGACTGTATAGAGATAGGAGAATTGACCATGTTTATGTATAGGACTCATTATGATTTAGTAGAAATAAAATGTTTTATTATAAACTTGACAAACTGCAGTAATCTTACTTATTATAAAACGCAGATTGTGTGTGTCTGTACGTTTATATATTGGATCGGATTTCCTACATTTTTCAACCGATTTCAACAAAACTTCACAGGACTACATAAAATTACCTTGAGGTGGTTCTAACAGCGCCAAAAATTGGAAAAACACAATTGTTTTTGCATGAAATCAATTTGAAAACACGATTAAGAGGCATCGCTGTCATAAGAATGAAAGGGGAACAACTCATATCGAGTTATACTTATTATAAAACCCAGGTTGTTTGTGAGTGTGTGTGTGTTCATTTATATATGAGATCAGATTTCCTACATTTTTCAACCGATTTCAACAAAACTTCACTTTTTTTGGCAGGTAGTGTTTCTTATTGTCTTGCACACTTTTTTCTTTATTTTTACATTCAGAATGCTTTAAAATTCCATTTACAAGACAATTGTTTATAATAAAATTCTATTCAATTGGTAGACTCATAACGATTGAAAACAATGTTTTTGTTTGAGTTTGGGTTTGACCAATTCATAAAAATACCCCCAAAAAACCTAATTAAGACATGCATGTCCGTCAACCTTAAACAATAATCTTTGTCAATTTTATTTTTCAATCTTTATGATGGTCGATACTTGATCTATCTCTTACTGTTACATCCCCGGGCAACACCGGGCTCTACTGCTAGTTATCTGATAAAGAGATAAATGGGTAATAATTTTGTAATTCTCATTGTTTCATTTTTTATTTTATTTTTATTTTTTTTAATGGTTTCTTGAAAAATTGCATAGCCTGGGAATTTGAAATTGTAGAAACGAATCAGCTAAGGTGCAGAAGAATGTTCCGAATTGGATGCATCAGGTGCAATGGAACAAATCAGTTTCTTCCTTGAATCATTTGTTGACCAGTCAATACTTTCTCCAACAAAAGCTGTCTCATTCATAATTAGCTGTTTGGAGAGATGTCTCCAAAGTATGAAAACCGATTACTGCCAGGAAGCTGAGCCCCCATCCTGAAGGCTGTTTACTGGTACAATATATCTCCAAAGGACAGCATTTTCTCAGCACTGCTGTTGGTGTGAAGAGCAGAAGCTTAGCTGCTGATAATATCTTTGGAGTGTCTGTTGTTTCACCTTTGGTCAGTGGATTTTTCTCATGTTGCTTTCTCACAACAGTGATTTTCAACTGATGTGCCACAGCAGGATTATAGGTGTGTTGCAAAATTTTTTTCAAGGTCATTAATTAAATTATTTTTGAAAGAAGTCCAAAGCACAATAAGTGTACATTTTCCTCTTTGTGTCATCTCTTTTCAGGACATTGGTGATCGTGGCTCTCCACAATTTCATGACCTTTGTAGCTCTTAATAAATTTTGTCTTTTTGTTATCTCTCTTGCTTCACCGTCCATTTACTCAAGCTCGCTAGATATGTTGTGTTGTTTTTCTCTTTCCTGCTTGCCTTCAGTCTGTCCTGTGAGTATCAAATTTTTCAAGCCTTTTTCCTCATTATGTGCCCTACAAATTTCAGCTCTCCCTGATGTTAATATAAGGGTCCTTTTTGTTTCTATTTCCTCTAAAACTTCATCATTGCTCACATGTTCGGTCCATGGTATCCTCATCATCCTTCTGTAGAACCACATTTTTGTTGCTTCTTTTTTTTTTCTTCATCTTAAAGGAGATTGTCCAGAATTCACTGCCAGATAGGAGGACTGTTATTACATAACAGTTCAGTATGCTTTCATTTGTTTCTAATGAAATATTTTTGTTTCTTAATACTTTTCTTGGTTTTTTAAGGCATCTTTTGCTATCCCAATATCAGTATCGCACTTTCCATCCTCTTTTAAACATATCCCAGATATTTAAATTGTTGTACTTTAATTGTTGATTTTGGTATCTCCAATTTGTAATTTACATATGAAAATTAAAACCTCTTTAAATTGATTATATAAGTATACCATTGTTATAATAAATAGATGTATACATAATATATAAATAAGATATTCTAAAAAAAAAAAACCTCAAGCTCAGATGTTTCATTAAATTAAGATAAACAGAAAAATATAAGATTTTTTTAAGAATTTTAATTATTATCTTTTTATAACAATTTATAATAAATTGTTTTGTTTGTGTTGATAAATAAATCATAAAAAGTAGACTCTTTTTTTTCTTCTTTTTTTGCACCATCATAATTTAAATGTGCTGCAGAAGTTTCATTATAGGTTCAAGTGTCCTGTGAGATAAAAAAAAAAAAAGTTTAAAAAATATTGACTTACATAAATGGAAGCAATGAGCAATGTTTTTTTACATTGAAATTTTTTTGAACTAAAGTTTAAAGTTTTGTAGACAATTTTTATTTTTATGGGGAGAAAAGAAATGTCTGTTTTCTGAAGTTTTTAATGTTTTAAATTCTGAAAATGAAAGTTGTTGCAACCTCTCTGTTACATTCCTATAAATTATTTGTTACCTCCCTAGTATAGACTCTGTCAAATTGTGTAATGTGGGAAATTCTCTGGGACTAAGTCTAAGATTTTAATTTCAGAGATAATACTTATAATGAAACAAGGGTCTATTTCAGACACGGACAATTTTTTCCAACTAGTCGGCTGCATACGATAGGGTTCATCATAAAGCATGCAGCAGGACTAAAATAATTCAAGGTAACTTTTTTGTTGAAGGTGTATCAGCTTTTTTCATTACTGAAGACAATATACATAAGCATCTGCCTTGGAAAAATGAAAGTTGATTTATTTTTCTTTGCATGTGATTGGTTTCTAATTTATTTGAAAATACAAATAATAATTTTTTAAATCCAAAAAACTATAACTCACTCCTCAGCAGCTGTTTTAAAAGAGCTGATTAGAACTGTAATAAAACCTAAATATATTCTAATGACAAAAGTATGCAGATGTAGGCTTTAAGAAAGCTTAATACAACTGAGAATATAAGGTTCACATATAGTGTCTTTTTATACTCCGAATAAACAGAAATAGCTCTCTCAAAGATGAGAGTAACAAAACAAGGGGAGACCACTCTTAATTATTCATAACATATATGAAAGTGAATTGTGAATTTATACATTTTCTTTGTTCTTGAGAATTTACAACAAATATAATAAATACTATTTATTTATTAGATTGTTTATTTACACTATTTATTTATTCTATAGTTTATTGGAATGGTTGGCAAAACATCTGCTAAGTGCCAATCAATTCAAACTTTATAAAATGGTAAATAATAAGGATTTCCTTATAGTTTACATATTTTAATAATTTAGTAAATGTTTATAGATTTATGGATTTTAAATTGTTTTCATATTTATTTCCTTATAAATTGCATTCTATTAGTTGTAATTGTATTTTCAAAATGTTGTAAATAAAAAATATTATTCATAATAATAAATATTGTTTAATATTTTTGCATCAAAAATTCTCAAGAACAAAAAAGTGTATAAATTCACTTTCATCATAAGTTTAGGTTTTATAAAAATTCTAATCTTTGCTTTTTAAAACGCTAAACATTGCTGAGGAGTGAAGGGAGTTAAAATGATATCAGTGTCAAGGGAAAAACTGTTCTTTTGACACACCAATTTTTGCAGGTACGAAGATTAAAGATTGCCAATAATATATTTCTTCTGCATAGAAAAAATTGCTATGAAAGTTTCCTGTTTCTAAAACAAAAGATGTTTATATGTTTGATCTTCCTTAGTGAAAATTGCCA